AGTTTTGAGTTTTAGGGATTTGAAAAGTAACAGTTTTCTTATGTTTTCGTAAATTTCCTTATGAAAAATAGAAATTTCGGACACACCAGTTGTATAACTTTCGTGTGTAACAATCTGTTATCCAATAATGCATGTAGTTTTCATGAGCATTCTCTATGCCTTAAATCACACAGAAGAATTCCCAAAGATGCATGGGATGAATTATGAACAAATTAATTCAATCAACTTTCGAAACCAGAAATTCAAAGAAATATAAGTGTACAGTATATGATATAAATAAGTATATGCTGTTCAGTTAATATTAAAATCGAATTTTACTTTATTCAAAATTTGAAGCGTCTGGACAAGTACTGTAATGTAATTTTCAAAATAAAATTTGATCGATGAAAACCACAAATCCTTATTGTGATTTCAGAGCATTTTATTGGGCGAATATCATGTGATTGTTAATAATTTGCAGAATGAAAATTTCGGATTGTTTGGTCTTTAGATGAAATGCACCATAAGTATTTGACTATCAAATAATTATTTGATTGTACCAAGCACTACTTGTAACTTTTAGTTTTAAAGTGTATTACATACAATTGTAGTTTTATTTCTGACTGGAAATATATTAGGAGAAGTAAAAGGGGAACTGGGGAGTAGTACCTATTATAGCGAATAGAACTTTTGTATCGGGAAAACCCTTCTAACCCAAATCAGATTATCTAACCTTTTTCAAGAAGGAGCACCTTTTTATAGGAAGAGACACCAGGTATTACGAGGAAATGATCACCAAGCCATCTTTTCTTAAAGCGGACACCTTCTACACCTTTTTTGTTTTTCTTGCTTTCAGCGATCATCGTAGCACCAACCAGATGATCATCACGCCACAACATCTTTTCTGAAGATCACAATCTTTACGCCTACCGAATTGGTATGTGAATAGGCTTCTTATAAGAAATAGCGCTTTTAGCAGATCATAACACCAGATATTATATTAATTCTATTCAAACCACCTTCATCTGAGGTTGAATTGATATCTTGTGATCTGGATTTGGAAGTACTGACCACTGTGCTATAGATCCACAGGTCTCAAATATCAAATTTTTAAACTTTCAAAAATTAAAAATTTTATTAATAAAAATTTTTTAATTCATATAATTTAAAAGTTCAATATTTATACTTTTAACAGTTAACTTTATACTTGTTTAAAAATTATATATATATATATATTTTTTTAGTGATAAAATTTCTTAAAAAAATTTATATATATATTTTATTATAAAAAATTTTTTGATATTAATTTTATAAAATATCATATTAATTAAAATCTTATATATGTCATTATTAATAACATATAATATATAAAATAATATTAATTAAAATTTTATACTATATTTTAATTAGTATTAATATTTTTAGTACTTTGGTATGATATCGATACTTTAAAGTATTGTACTGAAAATTTTTGATAATTATTGGTACTGATACTGAAAATTTTTTTCAATATTAATTTTAAAAATACTATACCGAATTGTATCAATCGGAATCCTAATTATAATCAGATAGTTGAAGCTTAAAGGTCTGATTCTTTGACATCAGTTATTTCAAAAGTCTTTAAAAAATCACAAGATCAATAGTTTATGATAGGGCTCTGAAAAGTATTAAACTGGTATTAAAGTGGTATCAAAATAGTATCAATTTATAATAAATTTAATATATGATTGTGATTTACTTATATGAATTTATAGTAAATTTAAATATTAAACTAATATCGAACTGGTATCAAAGTGATACCATTAGGAGCCCTAGTTTATGATATAATCAATATTTTTAAAATACCTAATAAAATTAAATCTCCTACTTAAAGTAGAAGACTATTTAAAATGATAAACTGTAATATATGCCACCTATTATAAATTATTAAAAAAAAATACAAAGCAATATTAAACATTATATAAAAAGAATTTGTACAATCAATATCAACTGAAGTTTTAACATATATATTACAATAACAATTTCATAAAGAAGGCTATTATATATAAATTGGAAAAAAAATTATTTATTAGTAAGAAAAATAAAAAATTTTATATAATTGAACAATTGAATAATTAAATTGGATTTCAGAATATTTGGAGTAATGAATTTTGTTTGAAGTATATGAAGATGATAGTTATACTTATGTTTGGTGATTATCTAAAGAAAAATATAATATTAATTATCTTGTACTAAAATTAAAATCTAATAAAAAAGAAGTTATAGTTTGAAGATATTTTATTGCTAATAATTTAGGACCATTAATAAAAATTAATGGATAACAAACTGCAAAAAATTATATACAAATTCTTAATAATAATTTAATATCATATTTAGAGAATAGACAAAACTATATATTTCAAGATGATAATTGTTCAACATATTATACATATATAGTAAAGGAATGAATAAAAAAATATATTACTTATCTTTCATGGTCTGTCCAAAGTCCTGACCTCAATCCAATTGAGCATCTCTTGGATGAATTAGAATGTCAAATCCACAAACATAATCCATTACCAATAAATAAAATAGAATTGTTTAATTTCTTGCAAAAGAATGGTTTAAAATAGATAAATCAATTTTTTATAATTTAGTAGCAAGTATGCCCCATCATCTTAGTGCTGTTAAAAATTCTAGAGGCAACCCCACAAGATATTAAATATTAAATAGATTATTAATATATTTAAAATTAATAAAATAAATTTTTCTTTAAAAAATTATATAAATTTTCGGCGAAAATCAAAAAAAAAATTTTTGTTTATTTGTAAATCGCTTCCGAATTTGATCATCGGTTGATTTTTGCTAGTGGAGTGTACATATATACCCATTATATAACTTTAAGTATAAAAAAAAATTAGATTTCAAAAATTAGCATTTATTTTTATACTACTTGTTACTGTGGAATTATATGATTCACACGGCTTTGATCAATAAATATTTATAAATAACAAGGTCATAATATGCAGGATATGAATATCAAAAATCTTAATTTTACATAAATGCTAACCAGAATGATCTCTACAAAGATTTATTTTTCAATTAAATTCTCATTTTTTTTTTTTTTTTTTCATTCTTTTTATGCAAAAAAAGGGGAAAGAAAAGAGGAAACAATTTACAGAAAAATAAACATACGATATTTAAGAGTTCAATTTAGATAGGTTTGGGTATTCATTTGTTTAAAAAACAAGCGTGATCCTTTTTTGTGATTGTTAAAGTTCTAAAAAAAAATAATGTTATATATGCTTTGTTTTGTACGGATAATTTTTCCAATGTCCTTCATGAAATTTAATGAAAATATGCGCAAGAAAAACCAAACCCCGGTACGATAAACCCTTTAAGATTATAGATGGAAAGTAATAAAGAAATTGAAAAGAAAAAGGTTCATTGAAAAATCGACCGAATTCAACCATCATACAAATTGAGGATCAAAAGAAAATGAATCTCTTCGTTCGGGAGGGAATAAAGCATCCCTCAAGGAATCCCTTCTTTCAGGAGCCAACAAGGAATCTCGGCGTTCCAAATTAAATCTTTCGGCGTGAGTAAAAGTAGGTCCAGAACTACTTCCCAAACTAAAAGAAGAATCCCGTCTTTCCGAACTAAATGAACCCCTACGATTATCGGTAAGGCTGTAAGTACTATCACGTCTTTCTAGGCTAAAAGCAGAATCCCGACGATCGGTTAGACTGTAAGTAGAACCTCGCCTCTCTCCGTTGAAGCCATTAAGACCATTGCCATTGTTACTGCTCCGCACACCCAATGGATTCTTTGAAAAACTTAAGCGAATTCCTCCCTTGACAGAATTACTGAGTGGATTACCATAGAGTTCATTCATTGCCTGTGTGGCATAATGAACATCCTCGAATTCAACAAAACACATGGGTCCATTTTGTTTAGTACGAAAACACATACGTTTATAGCCTGGACAACGAGAGAACATCTGTTTGAGTTCATCCTCGGAAGTATTCATTGGTAAATTTCCGACGTAAAGTGTGTTACACGGGGGATTTTGATCAGCTGGATTAGGAGGACGAAACCCTGGCGACGGAATAGATGGAGAAGATGATATAACTGATGGAGGAATAGAAGTATTAATAGATAACTGAGACATGGAATGTGATAGGTCCTCGTTGACAAGCAGTGCGGAATGGAAACCATTGGTTGAATTCTTCGTAGTTTTGGGAACTATTTCGACGGGGCTGGAGGTTGAAAGGTAATCATCCACACTTTCAAAGAATCCCCCCTGGGTATATCGAACGTTATTGTTAAGAGGTCTTGATTGAACACCGACCAAACTACTGATGGCACCGTTAGTTGCATCAAAGGAACCACGAGCGGAAAATGGAGCCTGATCGGGAAATACAGGAGTACTGGGAGTCGTTGGAGTGTAAACGCTCACATCCGAGTATAACTCATAGTCTTGAGGAGAGAGAAGATCGCTTGGAAGTTGTGCGGGTGCATATGGTGGAACCGAATGAAAGGCGTCATAGGTAGTATTAATATTACCCGAAGTCGAGAAACGTTTGTTAGAAGCAAGAAGGGGAAATGCTGCGGTATTTTGGTCATTGGAAAGGCCCCGCTTTGTATGCAAGTTCTTCTTTGCCATTTCAGCTTTTAAAACAGACCCTTTCTCGGCGTCAACTTTCCTTCCACTGAGAATGTCACGGGCTTCAAGGGCTTCAAGCCTTGTACGAAACTTTGCAAACCCAATCTGAAAAAAAAAATTATTAATTATACACGTACAGCCATAGGTTGAATAAAAAAAATCAGTTATAAAACTTTTTAATATGTACTATTTGTTTTCGTGCATTGTTACCACTGACAATTCCATTGCTGGAACCGCTTCCAATTCCGTTGCTACCATTTGCCGAGCCATCATCATCTGAACAATCTTTCTGTGGAATCTTCAGAGTAGCAGCTTCGAAACCAGGTGAAAAGATAAACATGTTTTGGAACTCCCGTTCTTGCATGTCATCAGGAAAACCGACGACAAATATTGTAGATATCTCTTCGTTGATCATGTTAAGGTTGAGTGAAATAGCGATGAATGTTGGGCGAAAAAGAATATGTACAAAAAAAGAAAGAAACTGATAATATGCAAGGAATGATAGAACAAGACGAGTTAAGGAAGGAAATATATAAAAATATGCAGGGATGTTGATGGCCAAAGTTCTAGGCAAACAACAATTCTACTTAGAAATGCGGAATGTGAAATAGAATGAATTTTCGGGAAGGAATTTTTTTACTTTCGTGCAATGTTATTGGTTATGCTCAAATGTATAACGATTAGGGATGTGGAGTATATTATGGAAACAGGAGGCCTGAAAATAATGTTAAGTTCAAAAAGACAATGGCTTGTAAATGTTTTGGAAAAGTAACCTATGGTTTAGAGATGCTTGTGCGAAATGGGATAAAATTTTATTTGATGCTAATTCTATTGTTGAATAATATTTGTTACTTGAATATGGTTGTTGCTATGTACAATAAGGCATATATGCAAATGTAGTGTGTTGCTGCTTAGGGAGGGAGGAATAAAAGGACGACAGCGAAGAGATCAAACCACTTTGCTGGCGCTGACAACTATGAAAATGGGTGTAAAGGAATGTCAAGAAAGTGTCGAAATAAATTAGCCGTCTATATATAATAACGAAAATTTTACAGATCACCAAACGAAAAAGAATACTAAGTATAACATACCTTTGTGCAATGACGCGAAAGTTTAGACCAATATTGAATGATGAGCGAACAACAAATGTTGAGGAGAGAGTAAGAGAGTTCGCGGCCTTTTTATTGCAAATACTGACGAGGTATTTGACCAATTTTACAATATAGAAAAATTGATATTGTACAAACTCAAAAGGGGGGGGAACGATTTTTGGGGGTTTTTACTTGGTGGAATTGTTATTGTGCTTTATAGAGTTTTACATAAATAATGCATGATAAATCAGGCAGAAAACGTAGAAAATCAAAAAAAAAAAAAAATTCTTTTTTTTTTTTTTTTTTACAATCACCCAAAATATTTAAATATCACTGATTTTTTTTTTTTTTTGCGAAGTATCAAATCATTATTCAAAAAAATGTTTTTTTTTTTCCATGAAATAAATTTAACTCGAACTGATAGATTTTATTATAATGTTGGCATTTTTTGATTCAAAAACAAAGGCCATTCAAAATTTGTTCTACAGATCGTATTTAACATACCATTTCTTCGCTTATTCACACTAGTTGATGTAAGTTGTCATAGAACTTTGCGGTATCTAACAGATTATTGCAGATTATGGAACGCGAAAATCTGCAAC